TAGCCATGAGATGCCTAAATGCGTGCTGGTACAAAGCTCCGCCCATTTGTACAAAGCTCCTCCCTGGAGCTCAGTCTGCACCTGAGCTCCCACCCCACAGAGCACCCCTCCCCTGAAGCATTGTGAAGACGTGCTGAAGTGGGAGTGTTGGAAATGGTAGGAGGTTCTCAAAGAGACAGAGGTTTCATAAAAATGATAATAATCCTTTCACAACTACGTATCAAAGGAAGAGAGTTAAAAATCTTCACACAGTAAAGAGGTTGTAAAAACTTATGCTAAACACGAAACATTAAATTACTGTTCACCAATATTGATTTAATCCTAAAATGAATGTGTGTTCTCAAGTTGCTCTGCTCCCTTGTGGAAGCGACAAAACTCTGAAAGCGCTCGGCTTTGTCTGAAACGCCACGAAGGGATTTCTGCAGAATGAGATATCCCCGGGGAAGTGATGTAACACAAATAATGATCTCTTCTTGTGTGAACTGTGAGCATGTCTGCGCCGTGAACGTCATCGCATCGGAAATTAAATGCAAGGAGAGAAAAAAATACAAGTACAACTAGATTACCTTTTTGTGTCTCACAAATGCTCCTAATTTTAGGAAATTCCCTTTAATTGGTCTGCAGAGGGCAGGTCTGAATAACCTCAATAATTTTAGTGTAATTTTATTTAACTATTTAGAAAAGCCCCCCCCCCCCCCAAAACAAAACAAAACAAAACATCTGCAATAATCATTTGAGTCTAAATCTTCACCATCATAGACATTTGTGTGAAGATTCAAGGGTTGCTTGTTAAATGTGAGAGCTCCCCCTGCTGGTTGGATCTGGGATCACAGTTTATCAAAAGGCAGATTAGATCAGCAGCAGTGATTGTGCGTAAATCAACACATCTGTGCTCAGTTAAACAGAGAAAGCAATCAGAGCATAATTACTGATCCCACAAACACAATGAGCAAACAGCTGCTGATTCACACAGTGAGTGAAAAACTTTGGCCCCAGGTCGAGGCTGAAAGTAGAGGGTAGAGGGGGGTACAGCAGACTAGGAGGTAAATTTGCTGTTGCCATGGAAACCATTGTATTTTCTCCCCTCCCTTGTGATTGGTGCTGCAGGCATGACCGCGTATCTGCTATTTCCGTCATGATCCAACACCTCAGACACGAGCGCGGTCACAGGATGCACACACACATTAAACGGCACAAAGACTCCCCTATCCTCACTTTTCCCTCTTGGAAATGCCTCGGGGGGGAGAAGCTAAAGTGCCGTCACATTTCAGACTATCATACGTTAAACTTGCTATTCATGATATGCATTTGTCTCCTCTAAAGTGCTGAAACTCAACTCTGTGGAAAAAAAAAAAACGTCTGATGGTTTGTTCCCACTAAAAGTTGTACGGGCGAGCTGGTGCAGGGTGCAGAGAAAAGCCAAACATCTAAGACTGAACCTGGATCAATAAATCAATCTGCCTTCAAATGATCGATTGATTTATAAGTGAAAACAAAAGCGATGGATCATGAACTCATTACGGTTCATAGAATGCCAAGTCAAGTGATAACTATCCATCAGGAAACATCCTTGTTATGCGACAGGAAAGTTGCTCCACCAGGTTTCAATACAATAAAAAAGAAACACGAGTCCATGAGAAACTTTAAATATGTTTCTGCTTGTGTTGGTATAAATCATATCCTGTGAAAGTATTCCCAAAAGTATGTTCTTTACAGAGAAAAAACAGCAGATTGTTTTCCTGAAGCAGCAACAGGAGGTCAGAGTTTCAGCCACAGAAATGATCAATTAAAGCAGGGGTGTCAAACTCCTGTCCTCGAGGGCCGCTATCCTGCATGTTTTAGAGGTTTTCTTGCTCCAACACACCAGATTTTGATCGCTGGGTGATTAACAGGCTTCTGCCCAATTTGAAGAGTTAATTCAATCACTGAATCAGGTGTGTTGGAGCTGGAAAACCTCTAAAACATGCAGGATAGCGGCCCTCGAGGACTGGAGTTTGACACCCCTGAATTAAAGCCAATTATCTATAAAAAAAATAATACACAGTTTTGCCAACTATTTTTCTTCACATCTTCACAACTCTTGCCTTGTTATCACTCACCAACATGAAAGTTGGGCGAGCCTGTAATTACCTGTAACTGTTTGCATGTTAGCAAATATTCCACGAACCACCGATTCAAAATGTTCACAGCAAATCAACCGTAGCCTAATAAAAACAAAAATGTCTATAACTCTGTTTATTTGATACTGAGATAAAATCTGATAGGGAGAGCTGGTTGCACAGTCATCCTTCTCAAAGAAATAACATCAAACAAGATCTTTTTAAAAAAAAACTAGCATTAGAGTCAACGCTGTTTGTTTAACTGTCAGCAAAATAACTCGAGCCATTGGACAGATTTGAATAAAACTCAGAAAGTAATCACTAAATATACGTAGATCTACTGATTAACACTTGGAGTCAGCCGGATTCAAAACAGAGCCACATATAATTAGCTGAGAGTCATTGCACACACTACACATTACAAACAAGAAGGATTTTGAGGTTGAGCTGAATGTTTTGTGTGGTTGTAGCCAAGACTGGAGCACTATACACTGAGATCCATCCATCCATCCATCCATCCATCCATCCATCCATCCATCCATCCATCCATCATATACACTGAGATCCATCCATCCATCCATCCATCCATCCATCCATCCATCCATCCATCATATACACTGAGATCCATCCATCCATCCATCCATCCATTTTATTCATTTGTCCTCATCGGGGTCTCCTCCCAGTTGGACATGTCTGAAGCACCTCCCTAGGGTAGGCGTCCTGGAGACATCCTTACCAGATGCCCAAACCATCTCAAATGGCTCCTCTCGATGTGGAGGAGCAGCAGCTCTATGAGTCTCTCCCTCATAACTGAACTTCTCACCCTATCTCTGAGGAAGAGTCCAGCTACCCTGCAGAGAAAACTAATTCCGACCGCCTGTATCCACAATCTTGTTTTTCCATCACTACACAAAGTTTGTGACCATAGGTGTGGGTAGGAATATACAGGGGTTAGACAATGAAACTGAAACACCTGGTTTTAGACCATAACATCTCTTTCAGACAGCTTCCTCTTGAGTCCACAGTTAATCCTGTTGGATGTTGTTGGTCTTCTTGGTGGTATGCTGACATTACCCTGGATACTGTGGCTCTTGATACATCACAAAGACTTGCTGTCTTGGTCACAGATGCACCAACAATTTGTCCTCTTTTGAACTCTGGCATGTCACCCATAATGTTGTGTGCATTTTGAGTCAAACTGTGCTCTTACCCTGCTAACTGAACCTTCACACTCTGCTCTTACTGGTACAATGTGCAATTAATGAAGATTGGCCACCAGGCTGGTCCAATTTAACTATAAAACCTCCCACACGAAAATGACAGGTGTTTCAGTTTCATTGTCTAACCCCTGTAAACTAACCAGTAAACAGAGAGCTTTGCTTTACAGCTTAGCTCCCTCTTCACACAACAGACCGGGTACAGAGTCCGCAAAACTGCGGAAGCTGCACCGATCCATCTATGAATCTCGCGCTCGTTACAACGAACCCACAATTCCACTCGTGTAGCACCCCGCACAGTGTACCTCAAGGAACACAGTCAAATGCCTTCTCCAAGTCCACAAAACACATGTAGACTGGATTAACAAACTCTCAAGACCCCTCATGGACCTTAGTGAGGGTAAAGAGTTGGTCCGTGTTCCACGGCCAGGGCGGAACCCGCATTGTTCCTCCAGAATCTGAGGTTTGACTATTGATCAGACTCGTTTTCCAGTACCCCTAAAAAGAGCTTACCAGGGAGGCTAAGGAGAGTGATGCCGTTGTAATTGGAGCACACCCTCAAAAGTTTGGCATTGACATTTGATTTGATTGATTGATTGATTCGTTTATTTGGCAAGGGACAATGCACACAAACGTAGAACAGATCATATCTGTAACTGATGCGTTGCACAAATGGTAAATAGCTACAGTTAATTTGCAACTCCAGTCCCTGGATTGGATTTGGAGTCAACATCGTTTTTCTGTTATCTTTTAGTGAATTATCATTAAATATACATCTACACCTGAATAACTTTCAGTCATTCCAATTCATGATAGCAACCCATCTAACCGAGCAACACAAACATGTCTACAACATAATGATCTTAAAGTTTTAATGAAAAGTGGAGAATGATATGATTTATTTAAGGAAAATTAACCTTTTAATTTTTTTCTTGTGTTTTGAAGCACTCTCGTGGCTGAACACTCAACATCTTCCTGGAACAAAACATTGAATAATTTATCTCCCGAACACAACTCAGAGTTGCAATACAGATGTTTTGTGGTAATTGTTTATCTCAGCTTCTAAATATTCCTCACGGGGATTCTTTACTTCTTTATAAATCGATAATCCAGTCTCCTGAGAAGGCATTTGCCAGATTGAGCAGAAATTGGGGAGGGAGGGATGTTGGGTGAATGAGCAGCAGGGGGGCAGAGAGTGTGTTATGGACTAATTATTTACATGTTTTACCTTGACGCTGTCCAGTACTCATATATTATGATAACTAGTTTCGGCTGTTTTAATCTGTTGCCCTAGACTTCAAGAATCCAGCAATGCATGACCTCTCTTATTTTGATAATTGGTTGTAAACGTGTTACAGGATGTTATATTATCGCCTGCTCTGCGCTGAGATTGACTTCTGCTCTGTTGTTGCTCAAATTAAATCATTTGACGACCATACACGCAGACTTTCTGTGCATTTATTCCAACGTGTTTCTGCATTCTTGGTAAATCTTGCCACCACAGAGTGAGAGAGACGTCGATCCTCGGGGATCTGATGTGACCTGGACCTGATGTGACCTGCAGTCAGATCACTTTGCAGTGAGGCACTAAGACCCAGTGAAAAGCCAGGGGATGGGGTGGGGGTGACCTGCCTTCCCACCCGCTGCCTGTGTGCTCCGCACGGCTCTGCAGTGGCTCCGGGCAAGTGCAGGAACCTATGTGTGTGTGTGTAAAAGTGTGTGAGGTGGACCAGAGGGGGATGAAGGGGTGGAGGGGAGAGGAGGAGTGTGTCCACCCCTTTGTGCATCACAGACTGGAGGACGGGGGCTCCTCCTCCTCCTGGTTTAATTTTTTGCTCCGTCTCTGCCTCTCCCATCCGGACCGACGAGGAAGCGCGGAGAGGTGTGCGCGGCTCGACCGAACGCAGACGAGATGAAAGGGTGCCAGGTGAGGAGGAGACACAGGACTCTCCTCTTCACCCTCCCACCCCACCTCCCTCCCTCCCTCTGTGACGTGGTGTGTGTGTGTGTGTGTGTGTGTGTGTGTGTCAGTGTTTGCTGTGTGTGAGTGCGTGTGCGAGCGAAACAGGTTGGCGGTCCCTCAGCAGACTGTGAGGCTCCCCGGGACGAAGCAGCCCTCTCCAGACTGAGGTATGTCACTGACTTTTCATCACTTCATCATTCCCAGCCGGACCTGCCTCAACAGCAGAGTGCGCGGGTGGGAAGGTGGGACGAGGGGAGACTGTGACTCATCAGGCGGTGGATTGTGTCTTATCCCTGTGTTTTCATGTGGAAAGACTAAATATTGTACATAGCGAGAGAGACGCTGTTTGACATCCTGATGGTCTCCTGCGTGCTGATGCAGACGAAGGCACACTAAGACAACAGACTACTTTTCTCCTCTCAGTAAACAGAGGGTCATGTGCATATGATAGGGTCATATGGTTCCAAGTCAGCAGTCCGAGATATTCCACACAACCTTATATTGTAGCTCAGTATAAATTTTATCAGCTTACGAACCCCGAGTTAGAACTTAAACTGAACTGCTCTCACTGATTTGATTACATTAACTAATAAACTGAGCTGCGTCTCTCCATCCCTCAATAAATAGTTTTGTTTGTGCGACTTAGTCTGAATAAAATGAATTGATTTATTAAGAATCTTTTTTGATTGATTGATTATTTCAAGTTAGTCAGAACAAAATTATGTTCATTAATCATATTAGATTCGAATAGAGAAAAGAAAAAAGAGAATAAAAACAATTTATAATAACTAATACATGTAATCCATTAAAAAATACAATACAATAAAGAATACAAAATAACTAACTTCAAAAGGAGTGGGATGAAGACAAGCTTATTTACTCCCATCCCCATTCACACATATTTTATACAGATGATCACTCTTAATTGTAATTGTCATAACCTAACACAATATAATGACCTATCAACAGCATTACGTAATTACAATTGCCTCAATACTATATACATCCGTGTGTACACATATACACATGTGCACACACACACCCATATGTACATACACACACTGCCCTGCATATCTACAATTGAACATGTTCATACAATTTCTGTATTACAATGTTAAATTGTACTTATTCCTTTTATGCATTAGGATATGATTTTTACACTTACTGAACATGGAGATAATTAGAACCCATGCTAACAGTCATATATTGAGACCAAACCATCTCTTTATATCTTATTTTAAATTGACGGATATTTGGACATTGCTTGAGTTGTGAACTCAATTGATTCCAAAGCTTAACACCGGGCACATTTGATTATTTCAATAATTTGTTGAATATCTTTGGGGATTCTGTGATGATGATTTGTTTCAAACAATCAGTGTTCTCTGGAGTAAAAAAAAAAAGTCCCCCTCCTGAGGGTTGCTCCTCGGTTATTGCAGCATCAGAGTTGTTCACAGGTCATTTAATTAGGTGACTGTAACGGTTTGACCTATTCAGAAAAAGACGACCTGCGTCTGTCAGGTGATGCTCATCGAGCCTGACGAACACATTACGTGGGAGGGAAGGATAAGGAACCGTGGCGGAGGCTGGGAGGCAGTCGCAGTTACGSAGTGGAAAACTTGCTCCTGCAGGTGTGCAGCATATGGAAATGTACCAACACTTCCATGCTTACTCCTCAGCTTTAACAATGTGTGGGGTTGCGCCCAGGTGAGATTGTGATAGTAAACACTGCCTACTCAACTGGCAAACAATCAAACTGACTGCTGAGGGTGATCCACCAACACAAGCACACATTTCGACTCACGTGTGAGAACTTCTTGTACAGAAGGGCAAGTTGGCTGTAAATATGATTAATGTTCAGTTTTTCAAAATACGATTTCCATCTTCTCTATGATAGGAAACCACGTCTGGGATTATATGAATACGAAGAGCGGGTTCATTGATCTTTTCCTCCCATCAACAGCAGATCTCTGCAATGCTGAGTTTCGCAGTTTGTTTGCACATTGTTATTTTTTTGCTTCTYCACTCGCTTAATGGGGACATATGGTCCACCCGTGCTTTTTAGCTCTTCCCTAGGGTGCTGGCTGCCCTGAAAACACACATCTGAGGATGCAGATGTCAAATATCTAAAAAAATTATGACCGCGAGGAATAGCAGACTGCATCCAGAGCGATGATTCTGACGGCAAAAGGTTCGAAGCAAAACTGCCAGCAGAACTTTTTACAGCTGTAATGCAATCAAGTGCTGGTGAAGTTTGCAATTTAAAAAAGTAGGATTTTGAAAGCTTTCACAAATCCTTGAGTTAGTAGCACTTAAAGAGGACATATCATGCAAAATTCACTTTTTTAGTCATTAAGTACATTTTGTTGTCTCTAGGAGTGCATAAAGGTTTAATTTAGTTTCCCCTGGTGCTGCGTAAACATCTTTATATTATGTTTGGGTCATATTTTTCAACCTGTTCAGTTTTATCTATTTTCTATGATATTTTCTGAACTATTATGTTGAATTATTTTTTGATGAAACTGCCAAATAATGTCTGGACTTACCWACTACAACTTGTGGTCTTCATTCTCCTCTGGCTCTGGGTCAGACTCTGGCTCCAACATGTAAAGCTGGATGGAGAAGTCTTCCTTTGTTGACATCTTTTAATTAACTTGTAAATAAAAAGTTTCTGCACAGTTATAGCCGTAAACAGGAGAAATTCAGACCAAAGCATTGCTGTTCTCCTTTATATAGACCCCAACTGAAGGATTTAAGAAATTTAACATGTCAAATTTAATTTACTTGAGCAAAATAAGTTTTTTAACATCAATTTCTGGCCCACAAAGTAACAACTGCATTCAACATAATCATTTCAAGAATGTGTAGTTTATAGGTTCGTTTTAGCGAAACAAACAACTATAATTTAACATGGATAACAATGTAAGCTTTTACAACTAAAGTGAAACTGGTGACTGATGATTACTTTTTGAATCCATCCGATGTACTCACAGAAGACAGGAGTTCTTTCAGCACAAAGGTCTCACGTGTCGTTTTTCTTTCAGATCTTTTCATCTGAAGAACAAATCGGAAAGAGGAGATAATCAACAACTGGGAGAAAGCTCGTGTGGACATCAGCAGAACCCCACCTTACAGTCTGCAGGGGTCAGGGTCTCTACACCTTTTACTATGAGAGATACCACCGGCTGAGCTTCTCATRGACACCCTACGACAGGGGAGGATGGGTGATGGACCCGTGAAGTTCAGCGAACTCTCTCCTCGGTGTCCCATCCTCTCATGGAGCGTCCTGTCACCTGGCACAACACGTCTCTCTCAGCGTCTGCAGCCTTACAGCGTCCGAATATCTCTAACGTAAGCGTGTCTGTCAGAAACGCTCAGCKTGAGGTGGATCTGAACCAGACTTTGGGGCTGTGTGTTATGCTCATCATGGACGTTCTGGCGGTGGTAGGAAACCTGGCTGTGATGGTTGTCATCACGAAAACACCCCAGCTGCGTAAGTTCGCCTTCGTGTTCCACCTGTGTCTGGTGGACCTGCTGGCGGCGCTGCTGGTGATGCCTCTGGGGATGCTGTCGGACCGGGTCCTGGCCAACGAGACGCTGTGTCGGAGCTACCTCTGCCTGAGTGTTGGTCTGGTGAGCGCCACCATCCTCACCATCTGTGCCATTAACGTGGAGCGCTACTACTACATCGTCTATCCCATGAGGCATGAGGTGAAGATGACAGTGGGGGTGGTGGTCTTGGTACTGGTGGGAATCTGGATTAAAGCTGTTTTTATGTCGGTACTGCCTCTGCTGGGTTGGCTGCTACAGGGGACCCCGAATCTGGGTACTCCTGAAGTTCTGGTTCCTGATCAGAGACACTGCTCCCTTCACTGGACAGGAGGCAGGACGACACGCCTGCTTTTTATGGTCTTCTTTTCAATAATCTATTTCCTGTGCCCTGTGCTGATCATTCTGGTGGTCTACTGCAGCATGTTTAAGGTGGCCCGGGTAGCTGCCATGCGGGARGGCCCAAACCCCACCTGGATGGACACGCCGCGGCAACGCTCCGACTCTGTCAGCAGCCACTCCACCATGGCAGCCAGCCTTGGGGGCACCGGCGCACGCTCGACCCCTCAAAGGATTTTCTCTGGGGGGAAGGCCGCAGTGGTTCTGGTAGCAGTGGGCGGTCAGTTCTTCTGCTGTTGGCTGCCWTACTTCTCATTCCATCTCTACTCGGCTGTAGTGTCCTCCTCTCCGGCCTCACTGGCCCAGCTGGAGAACGTGGTCACATGGATCGGCTATTTCTGCTTCACCTCCAACCCGTTCTTCTACGGCTGCCTGAACCGGCAAATTCGAGAGGAGCTGGCCCGACACCTGGCTTGCCTTTTCAAGCGGGCTCGGCCCAGCGAAGGGGAGCAGCTGCCCAGCCGCGAGGCCTCCATCGAGGAGAACTTTTTACAGTTCCTTCAGGGCACTGGATGCAATCTGGAGCCCTGCAACTCTCACAACAGAGCCAGCCCAGAGGAGCCAGAAACCGAGGGCCTTCAGGAATCAGCTGTTGAGCAGAACTCAACAGCTGATTTCCACATCCCTGGGCAAATCCTTGAGGAAACCGCAGAGTTCATGCAGCAGCAACATCTGAACAATGAGCTTTGTGTATCAGAGAACTGCTGCAAAACTGTACCAGAGATGTAGCTGCCTCGAGTACCGTTTCTTTAGCCATCTGATGATCCAATAAATGTTTAGTTTTATTCACATTTTTGAGTATTCCTTGTTTATGCTGCAACGTTATTTTAAGATAAAAAGAAAACTGTAAAATATAGTATCTTCTTTGAAGAATTAAAAGTATATAAACCATTTTTTAAAGAGACAGATATGCGTGTCTTTTCAATGCAGCATTGTGTYTTTTGGAAGCCATATGTCGTCAGGCTGTTGGGCTCTGTCACAAAACATTTCATGTGTTGGTTACAGTTCAGCTGAAGTGACAAACTTTATACAGACAWGAAGAGGCTCGGAAACTTTCCGAGGGCAAATTTCAGGGAAAGCACAGTTTTCCACTCAGACTGAAATCCTTAATGCTGAAAATTAAGCCCTGATCAAGTTCAACATCCAAAATAGTTTCATGTCATTTACATGATCTCAATCTTTATTGGATCAATGCACAATGTAGTTTATTTTTCTGTTAAATGTTACTATCTGCTGTCATTTTCTTTAATGACTAATCTGTTTTCAGTGTTTTACTCCTAAAACCACCAAGAAATTAATTAAATACATTCACCACTGGGAAAAGGGCACCACTCGGAAGCTTTCACATGTAAAACAAAAAAAAAAAAAAACCCTAATAATATAATAATAAAAATAAAATAAAAAGTGCTTCACAATTTGAAAGATTTATTGCGTTGAACAAGATCGTTTCACAGCTGCTGGTGCTGGTATTTATAATAAACAGGCTGACAGTGTATTTTTAACCATTTTCCAGAATGTTATTATCCTGTTAATCTGRTCTTAGTCTTATGATTATCACCTCCTCACCAAAATGGGAGACTCGTGATTTCAGCTCCTTCCACTCAAAGACGAACATTGTCACWGTTTTATTTTGTTTAACAGGGTTGAGAGACTTCAAAACCAGTGGCTGCAGAATACTTTAACTATTGGAATTAAAAAGAAAACAAACTGGGCATGATCAAATTTTGGACGAGCAGTGTCCATTTACCCTGTGATGTCTGGACCGTTTACACGTAAACACAGCAGCAGTGTGAGAGCTCTTGTGTTTGTGCAATAAACAACCAGGCTTGTTGTGGCTACACACAGCGCACAMGTGTGACAGCGCTTAAAGCGCTCCCTCTGGCCTCTTTTAGCAACAAATGGACGACTCTGGAGACACCTTTCTCCAATCTCAGGTGGAACACAAACAGTTTTGCACAGAAGTCACATGAGCAGTGGCCGACGTTCCAAAAACCACAACGGCACAAATCTCGAACTAAAGACTCCATTCTTTGGCTTTCCTTTTTTAAAATCCTTGCCCTGTCTTGCTGTCTTCATCAGTGTTGAACTGCCTCATAAGGGACGGTTGGCATGATCACAAGACTCTCAACACAAGTCGTACAGGGAGGGTTGAGAGTTTGCTGGGAGTCAGAACAAAAAAAGGTCCTTTGTAAGGAGAGCACATAACACTGAATTTCCCTCCTGTATGACCTTGTTGTAGATTGTTTTTCCCCCCTTTCAGACAGTGATGTTGTGCCATCTTGTTTTAAAATGTTCATTTTGAGCAATGAGCTACAGCGAGCACTGAGCCAGGTGAAATCCCTGCTAAAGTCTTCAGTATTCCACAGCATGTCTATGTGTTGCTTTAATTTATTATTATTGATGTAAACTGCCTTGATTTGTTACACCAGAGCGTTTGAATCAAAGTTTCATCTCCTTCGACAGCAGCGAAACTGCCCCGACTCAGCTCATAAAAGTGTCTGTCACCCTCTGTCTATTACAGACTGAGGAATAATCTGGTCTGAACGTGGATGATGTCTCCAACTTTCAGGAATACTCTTGTGTATTTTTAAACTATAGTTTTTTTCCCACACAATTTCCCTTTCTGTATCTCGTTTTGTACATAAGCTGAAAAGACTGTTAATATTCCTTTTTGTTTTCCCAAGTTTCTCCATCAACAGAAATAATAAAAACAGTTTAAACTATCCTAGTTTCTTCTCAATGTTTCCCAGTTTTTTTTTAAATGAGTCCTAATCAGCAGGTTTCTAGTTTTGTTGGCTGGTAAATCTCTGAGCAATTCTTTTACATGACCACGACATATTGTACATCTTAAATAAAAATTAAAAAGCAGGACAAGTGAAGGACAAACGTAGCAGTGTCCGATCTACAGCAGGGGTATCTGAAAGTTTTGTCTAACAAAGACCTGAAACAGGACCTGAGAGATGAATCGTTCTTCAGTCTTTTCCCYTATCTCACATTTTTAGCTAATAGCTTTTCAAGAATCACCTTACTGGTACTAAAATACAATTTCATGTGTCAAACTGCGTTACTTGGTAGTTTTTACGATTCAGCTAAAAAAAGGGGGAATATTTTAGATTTTTGTGGCAAAAAAAAWGATTTAAAATTAGTTGTTTGCTAAGTTGAAAAAAAAATGCTCTTTAACCACAATATTATGACTAGTGCTGGGCAGTATGACCCAAATTTTATATCACAGTGAAGAAATTTATTGGAGTTTGTTTACTACTGACTTAAAAAAAAACACTACACATTTTATAGTTTTTTTCTCAGGTGAAACATTATATCGTTTCAAAAACCATTGTGTGATTATTCCTGTGATTAAACTGGTGATTTTATGTACAGACTGGTCTGAGTGGCTGTCACAGARGGCTACACAGAGCAGAAGGTACATCTAGATAAGATACATGCCTGAAAACACTTTCAACACTTAACTGAACCGTGGTTTTAACATTAGAACAGGAAACTTGTATGAAGACCTGACTCCAGCTGTAGAGTGGCCCTTTGCGATGACGCAATGACAATAGTCGGAGTCAGGGCGTGAAGAAGGTTATAAAAGTGTCCTGGTTTCCTGAATCGAGGCTGAATGCACGGAGAGAGAATAAAACGTGGTCCAGCCCAGCGCTGTTGTATTGTATAACTCTTTTCACATTCAAACATTCAAATATTGGTGTCGTTTCTATCTGGTTAATATGAACACGTATTAAGGTAAATGAACACGCCTAATTTCCTATTTTCTTTCAACAGTATTTTCAACAATTATACCGGTGTCACAATATTTCACTGTATTTTTCTTTTCATCACAGATCAGCTGATAAAATATACAAATGCTGCTTTTTGATTAGCAGACCACGGTCAGCTGAAGTTACTCTCTGCAACACAGAAACTATTTATTGACTTTTTTTCTTTTCCCGTACCTCTGTCTGTGTCGCTGTTTCCCTCCTCTACGTGTCTGTTCTGCTTTGCCTGGTCGCAGACAGTTTGGTCCGGTCGTGAAGGAGCAAGGTTAAGAAAAGATCATTATTGGGTCTATTGTTTGATGTTATTAAATAAAGCTTAACAAGACAACTCAGCCTCCCTGCACCAGTCAACTCAACCAGTACAAAACCACTTCCCCCTGATGTCCCTTAAGGCCCTGTCACATTAGATGACTTATGCCAACTTATGAACATTTTAAAGACGTCTACATTAAAGGTGGAATTGAAAAAATCAACAGGAACTTTCTTTTCGGTGTGTACATAATGTAATTCAAACAAATTGATCAAATATATAACATTTATTAGCAATTTAGACYTAAAAATGTTTTGTAAGTTGTCTAGTGTGACAGGACCTTCAGGGTTTTCATAATAGAAGCACATTAACGTCTCCATACATTTACGTTGTGAATGAAATACACTATATTCAGCAATGGTGAAAGCAGGCGTTTTTGCTTTTAACATCAGTCAGTTTAAGCAGCGTAATCGCCACCCGCAGCCAGTTACTGAGAAGCTGCTCCAACAATAACATTAGCTTGCTAATGCAATAGTGATGCGGGTGCGACGTGACATTCTGAATGTGTTCAGCCTATTTAAACCGGTATGTCCGGTAATCAGAAAATTCGTATCATAACAAAAATTAAAAACGGTTTTCGGTACGAACCGGTATACTGCTCAGCACTAATTATGACCACTTCTCTGAGAWAGCCATGTTTTTTTAATAAATCTGCCTTGAACTCTGAAACATGAACTCCACTTTACCTCAGAAGGTCTTCTGGCACTAAATCATCTGTAGCAGATCTTTCAAGTCTCAGAAGATGCAACACATCTCATACTTTATTGGAGTGATACCTGAAAAACCTTAGAGGACAAGTCAGTATCCTGAAATTGGCATGTCTCATTTTTAAAGGGGCAATATTATGTGTTTCTCAGGCATACATTTAAATACTATACCATAATAAAGTATCTGTCACCTTTAGCTGTTATTAAAATGCTGTTTTTATGTTTAAATAGAAAATAAACTTATCTTCTCATCACTTCCTCTTCTAAACGCCTTGAAATTGGCCTCTGTCTCTTTAAGAACCACCTTCCACTTCTGTCCTGCCCATTTCAGTGTGTGTATATGTGTGTGGGGGGCTGCCATGATGCAGTTCATTTGGCATCTGAAAATATATTTCCTCAAATATACTCTTAATCTGAAAAGAGCTTCAGACAGTTTAAGTTTCACTCCCAGCCTGCAGCAGTCATGGACGGGGTGTAAATAGGGAGGCATCTGGTGGGGGAGGGGGGGGTGCTGCCATGAGGAAGCTCGGCCCAAAGACACATCCCAGGGGCGTTTCTGGTCCCAAAAGGCGTTTCTGGTCCCCACCTGTCGTTTTGCTCCTCAGCATGGCRMCCTAAAAATGCTGCAGGATTTCTCAAACATGCATGAATGAGTCAAAGCAAGGCTTTTGGCATGTTTTTTATGAGAGTATAACATTATAACATGATATAAAACTCAAAAAAGTTGATTTTACATGATATTGCCCCCTCTAAGGGCTTGTTTGTAGGACAAAATGCATCACGGAACGAGCCTATTAACGTTTGCAAATACAGCCAAATCAGCTACGTGTTCTCCGCATCAACAGCAAGAKCCAACATTTTCCAGAAAAAATGAAATGTTTTAATTTGTCTTTGTTCAAAGTTCCTCAAATCTCTGTCACTGCCAGTTGTTTTGCAACTAATCAATAAACTGCAATGTTCACTTGGTGTTGGTAACTATCAGAGAGCATAACTGGAAGGAGCTGAGCAACATGATTTTTTTTAAACGTTGCACAAAAATGTGTCAAATACTGTCACTTTGTTTATCATTTCAGTGATTGTTTCTATTCATCAGAGCAGCATCACCCAAAGCTCCTGGTCTGTTTCCTGGTTGTTCTGATTTCCATCCCTGCTCCCCGTCGGACGCAGTGACTCATGGCCTTGATGTTCAGCGGCGTGGAGCGCCTCCCGCAGCGCGCAGCCACACTTCAAACAGCCTGACCTTTGTGGCGGACTACAACGCACTCAGTAAAAAGTGCTCAAGGACGGGTTTCACCGCTGCGTCACTCCAGAAGGTCACCGAGAGCGTGGCGCCCTCGACGGGCGGATGAGTTCAGGTGCAAACAAAAGGCTTAAAACAGAAAACTGAAAAAAACAGACGAGGCGACACGAACAGGCTCGCCACGCCGAAAACAAGAAACGCTGTGGAGGCTGACTGCAAGGCTGGACCATGGATGAACTCTGTTGCTTGGATTTCTCACTTACTCTCAAATCCTGGGTTTTCTGAAACCATCAGTTGCTGTGGTAACCTGCGCCAATGACAGTGATGGAGAGCTTGTTTGGCAGCAAAAGCAGGATGCTGGAGCTGCTGAGGGAAACAAAAAGAGCAGGGGTGAATAAACAAAGGATGCTGTTGACCTCATTTATACAGTCACRATCAGTTATCTGAAATCTGAAAAGAGAGCTGAAACAATTTGATTAATTGTGTTCAAAGTYCGAGACCAAACTTWACACACAGAAAACCGATTCAKAATCAGACTTGCATATTTATTTGCACATGCAGTGTTTACCACAACCTCAGGCCTGCTTCAAGTACAYTTTGGCCCTGATCCATTCCAAAACAGAAGCATTTAACAGCGTCTTCTGAACTGAGTCACACCTAATGACTTTGTGGAAGGAGGGAACATGACCTCACTTACTGGGTGACCCAGTTCTCAGCTAAGAAAGTCCTGAATAAACAGTATAAAATAAACTTTTGCACATTTATTATAAGCTCAAGCATGAAAATGTATATAAGATGCATTTAAGACTCAAATTAATGAACATATATTCGATTTTTAGTGGTCCCATTTTATACTTCATTTGGGACAAGTAATGGACTTTTAACCAAGAGAAAGATATTTTAAACTGTTTATGTTTTTCATGCAGCAGTGTTGTTTAACAATTATTTAACTTTTCACAACAGTAATAAAGGTAGTTGCTATAGCGTTTATTCTACTTTTAGATTTTAAGTCCGTGTGTTTGATGTGTTTATTGATTTTGACCAATTTTTAATCGTTTCCTCTTTTTCAATCTGATTTTTTTTCAGTAGTCCAAAAGTAATGATAAAAAAAATATAAACTAAAATGTGCAAAATAAACTCTAAAAAAACAGGTTTTAAAACTGCATCTTTTTTACCAATTATTAAATATATTTGTATATTACCATTACATTTTTTTTTCCTTTTTACGTCTAACAAAAAACGTACAATAGGCTACTTAACCTTAGTTTGGCTCTTCTTTAGCTTTTTAAAGTCTGATTTTTTTTTAACGATGTGCATAACCATATCATATGAAAAAACAATAATGTTGTTTATTTGCAGAAAATAAATAACAAAATAGCTATCATTATGCTAGCTGCTCGCTGTTGTTTACTCACCTTCCAGTTTCTGCGAGCATGCATGACAAGTTGTACGTATTGCCTGTAAATTACACGGAGTTTCCCCCATTTTTATGTATGCATATGTGTAGAGAAAGATTCAATAACTCAGCTTTACATTTATTTGACATCCAGATGTCCCTCATGTGGTCCTTCGTGTTGTTTCCCCATGCATTCAGGGCCTCCTAAGTAATGTTTCAAATGGTTGTATACGCGCTCCTCTTTTGATTGACATCCCTTTTGATCAACTGGGTCGATCTGTTGTTTCGCCACAGAGTTATTTGTTTTTTTTTTCTCTCTTCTTTCTGAAGAAGATGGCAAAACCTGCTGAAAAGAGAAAATAAAGCTGTTAGAAGCCAAGGTCGTTTAGGAGAATAAATTATTATTTTATTGACGAGGAAATGTCTTTAAAAAAGTCTAGTAATAAAACTTCTGTGGAGTTTGGACTCTGAATTATATATTATGAAATGGAAGGCATGGAATATAATCATGGGTCAGCTGTTCTACAAAAGAAGACCCAAGTCAAAAAAAACTTTTCATATCCTGCTGCTGTTATATGTTGTTTAGTTATAAATACGTTTGAAAAAGTAAGGAAATTATGGACTTTTGAGGCGATTCAAATTGCTGTGTATATTTCAGTTGTATATGATTGTAAATAAAGTTAGATTGTTGGGGAAATTTRGTGTATTTCTGAAGGTCGTTCTGTATGTGCTAAGTCCAATAAAATGTTATTTCTTAAATGGCAGAATCCATGAAGCAAATGTAGTTTAAAAAAAAAAAAAAGTAAATTATGAGGTTACTGCAGAAACGTGATTTCTTTTTTTTTACTCCTGTAATGTAAAGCTGCGTTTGCACTTTTGCAGTGAATCCACTGGGGGGCGCCCTCACACAGCAGAAACGCTGATCTGCTTGTGAATAAGAACTGAGAGACTACAGTAGAAGAAAAAGACAGAAGGGAAGAGAGAGAAATGGATTTTAAACTTCTTAAAACCGGTTGTTAAAAAAGGTTAAAAGGTATTAAAAATGTCTGAGAAAAGCTCATCCACGACGGATAAAAGAAATGGGAGAAAAATTGGTAACTTCTTGGTAGTCGTTTTGGATGAAACTACATTACCCATAAGTCTTTCGGCGTCGATTTTTTTTCTTGACTCTCTCTCTCTCTCTCTCTCTCTCTCTCTCTCTCTCTCTCTCTCTCTCTCTATTTTTTATGTAACTTGTTTTGCAACTGCAACAGCTGGATAGCGGCTCTTCCATACAACAATCACTTTTACTGGGAGGAAAAATAACTTTTAAAAACAGAAACCTCAAAACTTTTTAACCCGGTTTAATCATACTTTAATTATTAATTCTATAGAATATGTGAGTTGAGTAGCCTATATATATGGATAAAAATCGCTTGTGAAATCCCTCATTATTTGGAGTGAATGTGAGTGAATCAGGGTTTTTCAGTCYGACGTGACAGACGCCGGAAGTTTCGGTGCCAACGCCTTTTTTCTTCATTTCTGCTGTTCTTCTGGGCAACTTGAGTTCCCACCGACCGGGCCAGGAGCTGCTGGACGGGGCTTCACACCCGTGAGCTGCTGAAACTGACCGGAGAAAGTTGTCASAGAAGCGAACATGGGCTGCACGATCAGCGCCGAGGACAAGGCTGCGGTGGAGAGGAGCAAAGTGATTGACAGAAACCTGCGAGAAGACCTGGAGAAGTCCTCCAGAGAAGTGAAGCTGCTGCTGCTCGGTATGAACTTCTAACAACTCCTTAAAAAAAAAAAAACATCTGTTATTTATCACTGGGTAGTTTTTAGTTTGTGAAAGTCTTCACTGTCCTCTCTGCTGAAGCAGCTGTGACTCATCTGTTTCCTGAAAGGACTTGTAGAAATAAACCAGATGTTGGTTGGAGTGAAACTGCAGGTCCTTGAACGCCTCACTGGTTTTCTGTGGAAAATGGAGTATTTACTTGAAATAAAAGGTCACGTCACTTGTTACTGAAGATGTTTGAACTGAAGCTGGCCTGTTTCACTTCAGCTGAAAGGCTGTTAGGAGTCAAAACACACACACACACACACACACACACACACACACACACACACNCACACACACACACACACACACACACACACACACACACACACACACACAGAAAGTAAAGGAATGCCTATCACCCGCTGCCTTTTCGTGTCAGTTTTAAGATCATCCTCTGACTGACGCCAGTTAAAAACACACCAAATTTGACCACATAATTATAGCCATTTTTTGTGTGTTTTTTTAAAGTCGTTTGTCTGTGGAGGCCTTTTTGAGTTGGGTTGGCTCCATGGATAAATCAGTTGCAGATGTGCATTTTAAAGATTTCATTAAAATCGATTCAGAGGATATTTTGCAAACAGACAGATAGTGATGACTGTGAATTGTTACAGTCTGGTCAGAAAAGGTGTTGGGGATCTGTCTCAACTACACTCAAAAAATCTAAACGTTTGCGTTGGATTTTCTCAAATAAATTGTCAACAGGTTCTACTCAGCTGAATTGAGTAAATCTAAAGCTGTTTTTTTCATTTACTTTCTAAGTGAATATGAAGTAATTGTGTTGACATAATTTATTTAAGAAAATCCAACACAAACGTTTAGATTTTTTAGTGTAAAGGTGCACCAATTGCAGATTTCTGGCTGATACAGATTTTTAAAAAGGCAATTCTGGTTTTGGCTGATACTGATTCTTTTAAATGATTCATTATCAGGTGTTACAAGGTCACAATTCAATGTTCCAGTTTTATTTTATTGAAAATCATTGATCAATACCCTTGAAGTAATAAAAACTCCTTGTGAATATTATGTGGAAGGTGAAAAGTTTGGGAACCACTGCCTTACACTGCTTGTACAAACGTGTTTACTTGTCCCTCATTTCTTCTCCTCTCTCTTTTCATTCATTCATTCATTCATTCATTCATTCATTCATTCATTCATTCATTCATTCATTCATTCATTCATTCATTCATTCATTCAAAGAGTCAGACTGTCTTAATTTTTTTAATAGTCTTAAATATTTTTTTTCAGGCTCTCTGTAGATGTTTCTTTGTAAAATTTGGACTGTATGCTGTTTTCTTTTCTTTTAATCGTTTTAAGTCTGACCAACCTGACCACTTTCAGCTAGAGGATTTCTTGCACTCAGTTCTGAAGTGAAAAGGGCTGATCTGAAGGCTGAACCAGTGTTATGTCGACACATGTCAGAAAACTTGGCAAAGAGTCTCTTTAGGTATTTTGTTACAGCAGCTTGTCACAGACAAAAGCCAAAGATAACAGCTTGATCCTTAAAGACCTGTTAGCTGAAATCTCGAAATACAGTAGATGATCAGCTAAACGATGCACCTCAGGTCCTGTCCTGGAGTTTTCCAGCTACTGTTCATCTGATGTAGATACACGTTAGCCCTGAAACTGACTGTAGAGTTTGGAATAATTTCAAAACAAAACTAAGGTTATAGAGGGTTTGATATAAATAATGCTGTTTTTGTTAGTTTAAAGTCAGAGGTCGGCCAGTGTTTGAAAATAGAACCAGTTTGTAAAGACAGTGAATCATGTTGGGACTGATGTCAGAAAGTTTTAAAGTTTCAGTTCTGGGACGTCAGAAACAGATGTGGGGTTTAAAAGCAGTTAATTTATTTTCCAATTTGCAGTTTTTAGACTCAAAGTCCCTAGCCTACTGGCTGAGAAGGTTTCACAAGTTTTTCATGGGTGCAGCCATCAACCCTGCTGCTCAACCCACAAATGCATTTTCCTAAACGTGGCAGCACAACAAGGAAAATAAACAGATTTTCCACAGTAAAAGATTTATTGCCAAGATGCATTGTTACAACAAAGAAAACAATCAACCAAACACAAATGTCCTTACTTGTTTATTCAGTTTATCATTGCAGAACACAAACAACTGTTTAGGAAAACAATACAAGGATTAAGGAGTGTGATAAAGACACTGTCACTGTTCTGTTGACCAACTAATTAGTTTGTTAAAGGGTTCTTTACTACTTCTACTTTATTTCACTTTTTAACGAAGATACTTGCTTTTAGTTAAAGTGGATTTCTGCTGTAGGTGAAGTAAAGAGATTGATTATGCCTTTATTGTCATTGTACGGAGCACAATGAAATTACATTTAAGAACACCCATTAAGACACACACATGAGAAAAACATGGGGGGAAAGGTGATCAGGTCATGCGGCAGCCAGCAGGGGTCGCGCTACCTTTTAAAAAGAAAAACAAAAAAACAACCACGTTAGATGAGGAAAATAAAACAAAACATCATATTATATCAAATATGATACACTATGGTGTTTTATTAAAAAAAACCTTTACAAAGCAGGAGCACATTTATTAGCCCGAGGAGTAAGTGAGTTTAGAGGGAATGAGTCTGAAGAACCCAGCCTCCCAAAAGAAAAACCCATAGTTCAGTCATAGTTCAGAATACTGGTGTTGAATTGTTCATTCTGTGCAGCTCCAGGGTGACCTTAAGGGGACCAGATTAGACGGAGTGAGAGGTGGGGGCGGAGCCACGAGTTGACGTAAACACCCCAGAGAAATTAGATCCACAGCCTTCAAGGTCACGTGGTGAGGGAGACACAAATCTGTAATCAGTTGTTTGGGAACAGAATAAATGTTTTTGGTCAGACAGACAATAACAATTTTCCATCTGCCTTAATGTCCGCTGGTACATCTCAAGGTGGCGAATCCAATCAGACAAATAATGTTGACAATTCGGCCGAGCCGAGCTATCAGATTGTCCAAGATCAATTCCATCTGGCCAGCAAAGTCCAGGAACCACAGCCGGCCCGCGACCCTCAGCAGAACCGCTAGCAGACCTTGTCCCAGCTCGCACACGGCCAAAGTCTGAGTGCTGAAAGCACTGCAATCCTTCATATTGGTCAGGCAGCCAGGAAATGGTCTGAACAGCCACCGACGCTGTTTTGTAGAACACCTGGAGACCACCAAGCCAATCTGTAGAATCAAGTGATCAGAATCCAAAAATATATCCAGCTAGTTAAACAGAACAGAACAGAGGTCCCACCTTTGACATGTCCTCCCATGGAAAAAAATTTGTTCCAAAAATTTAGTAAGAGACCAGCAAACCAAATCCATAAAACTAAATCCATAATTTTTGGTTTCGGATGAAAACGTAGAGAAGGCTCCCAGCAGCAAATCAGGGAAGATAAGGGAGGGCAGGAGACAGGGAGGACGCGTCTTACCCCTCAGAGAGCAAGACTGACCGACCGACCAACCGACCGACCGACCGACAATACTTAAGATTGTTCGGATCTCTTCAGATTGAGTATAAATGTGTGGAACATTGACTTTTACTCTGCAGAACCATCGCTGAGGGTGTGGACTGTACTGACATGCCAGGGGTGGGAGTGGGGGGTGGGGTGTTACCCCCAATTTACACTACTTGCGTTCGTTAGTTGCGGTCCGATCTCCGCACCAAATATGCACCCATTTTAATCAATGAGAGTGTTTACACTGGCTACGCAGGGCGGGGGTGAGTGGATGGCGATCTGTCAAAATTAGAACAGATCCTATTTTTGATGGATGCCAGAGCTGCGCCGGTGTCAATTTTTAAATATTACGTCGCACCAACAGGAAAAGAAATGAGCACAACATCCGTATTTTCAAAATAAGACACTTTTAGTCTGGATAATTTGTCGGAATAATGTCGAAATTGCAGCTATATTAATGAATATATGGATATATTTCTACACAAATGCTGTCAGAATGTATCGTTCTGTTTGGGAAGCAGATGGAAACATGTAGCATGAAGCTGTGTACACACACACACACACACACACACACACACAATACACATGGATTTTATTTTGAAATCAGAAGTTTCAGAAAGCCGACAGCGAGACAGTTTCAACATAGAAATCAAAAGCTTTCATATCGTTGTTTTCAGCTGTGTTCGGAGTTAGTCTTTCACAGAATTAATTATTTTTGCTGTGACTTCCACACTTACTGAATTTATCGCGCAATCTCCTTCCTGCATGTCTGTTGGACTGGAGCGGAGGTAGTGTAAACTGGACTTGAAACGCACCGCTGCGACCTGCGCACCGCAGCGGAGTGGAGCCGTAACGCATGTAATGTAATTTAGGGGTTACACCCCACAAGTACATAGTAATGTCATGTTTTTACCATTTTCACCAACTCATAAAATATGTGATCTTTTTGCAGCCAAACCTTTGATTCTGACAGGCATGCTAAATAAGATAACTAAGTTTTCATATATAGACTGTAAAATCTATTAAAACAATAAACGAAATAAATACAATATGTAAAGAGAATTTATAGTAAAGTCAGACAATTTTAAGAAGCTTTCCAATAATTTATACTGAGATATGAAAGAAACTGGTCCATCCATCCATCCATCCATCCATCCATCCATCCATCCATCCATCCATTTTCTTAACTTTACTGTTCATTTCTGTGCTGTAGGGGTTCTGGTGCAATCTCCACCGGTCAGTAGACCTCATAAGTAATTTAATAACCCTTGTCTTGATTTCTGAACCTTATCTTGTCTGTAACTTTCTATGACAGAATAATATTTACTGCTTGACTCTAATGTCTTTGTGTCTCAGGCTGTTTCAACAGGATTTGTTTCAGTTCTACATACAGTTTGTTTAAATCATTCAACAGCAGGTTGGTTTGAAAATAAGGGCTGCCGATGTATGTCCCTATAGACAACAGGGACAGCCTACACATCATAC